CAAGGTAGGTAGATAGGTAGCAGTGGTGGGTTTCAATTTTTTTTACTACCGGTTCGGTGGGTGTGGCTTGGTGGGCGTGGCATGGGTTGGTGGGTGTGGCTTGGTGGGCATGGCAGGGGAAGGATACTGTAAAATCTCCATTCCGTCCCCAATCCAGGGGAAGGTTACTGCAAAATCCCCATTTCCTACCGATTCGGGAGGCAGAGAATAGATGGGGGCGGGGCCAGTCAGAATTTTTACTACCGGTTCTCTGAACTACTCAAAATTTTCACTACCAGTTCTCCAGAACTGGTCAGAACCTGCTGAAACCTACCTCTGATAGGTATTTAGGTATGTAGGTAGGTAGTGTAGGTAGGGTAGGGTAGGGTAGGGTAGGGTAGGGTAGGGTAGGGTAGGGTAGGGTAGGTAGGTAGGTAGATAGATAGATAGATAGATAGATAGATAGATAGATAGATAGATAGATAGATAATAAATATTATGTATATACCCACATATATTATATGACACGGAGAAACAACACAGTCTAGTTTGGATGCATACATATTTATGGTGAGAAAAACTACAGAATCAGGTAGTCCTGCAATAAATACTTCGAAACCTCCACCCAGAAGAGATCAAAAAGGGATTATTTTATCTTTAGAGAAAGTAAAGTGGATGGGTTTTTTTTTTTTTTTTTTTTTTTTGGTTCAATAGGGAAAAGTTAATGCAGAAGTTTGAAAAGTTGATGTGATTTTATATGTTTTGCCATTACAAATGTCAAACTTTTTAACAATAACAGTTAACTGCCATAACAACTACCTTTATTCATAGCAAGAGAGTTTGGATCTGTTGGTTGGTCCTGAGCAAACAGAAAGGATCCCAGCGTTTTTTCCTGAGAACTGGATCTCTGCTCTTCCTGGTTGGGGAAAGTCTGAGGCAGGTGATAGGAGCCTAGATCCAATGGATGATGAAGGTATTCTTAAGTGAGCAGGTGGTTCTACTTTTCTTGAAAGAGGCAGTGGAAGAGCCTCAACAGCTTTTCTTTTGGATGAAGGTGGCTCGCTGTCTAAGACGCTGAGCTTGTCGATCGAAAGGTCGGCAGTTCAGTGGTTCGAATCCCTAGTGCCGCGTAACGGGGTGAGCTCCCGTTACTTGTCCCAGCTTCTGCCAACCTAGCAGTTCGAAAGCAAGTAAAAAATACAAGTAGAAAAATAGGGACCACTTTGGTGGGAAGGTAACAGCGTTCCGTGCGCCTTTGGCGTTGAGTCATGCCGGCCACATGACCACGGAGACGTCTTCGGACAGCGCTGGCTCTTCAGCTTTGAAACGGAGATGAGCACCACCCCCTAGAGTCGGGAACGACTAGCACATATGTGCGAGGGGAACCTTTATCTTTAGGGATAGATAGTTGCACAGAGATCTCCTTAAAACAGATTACCCAGACTTCCCAATTCAGGCCTGGGTGTAAAACTGAGACCAAGCCAGGTGTGAAATCCAGCAGGTTCTGACAGGTTCTGGAGAACCGGTAGCAGAAATTTTGAGTAGTTCGGAGAACCGGCAAATACCACCTCTGGCTGGCCCCAGAGTGGGGTGGGAATGGAGATTTTGCAATATCCTTCCCCCAGGAGGGGAGGGAATGGAGATTTTGCAGTATCCTTTCCCTGGAGTGGGGTGGGAATGGAGATTCTGCAGTATCCTTCCCCTGCCACGCCCACCAAGCTACGCCCACAGAACCGGTAGGGAAAAATTTTTGGATTTCACCCCTGGACCAAGCTGACTGCTATTACGGATGACATGAAGTAATCAGTTTTTCAGGTCCTTCTCCATCTCTCAGCAGCTTTTAATAACCGTTTCCTCAACTGCTTTTAGGACTGAGAGTGGGGACGTCATTTTGCACTTGTTCTCCTCCTCCCTCTGCAGGAGACTCTGTTTGATCTATTCCAAACCGAAGTAGTTTACCTCACGATAAACGGTTCATCATTCATGATAAACAGTTCATTACAAAAGAGGGGTCTTCTCACTGTCTTAACCCTCACCCCCTCAATGTTAGAAAAATCCACAGTGGACCACCGGCCAACACGCTCCCACAGAGAGGGCCTCCTCAGGGTGCCGTCTGTCAGGCAATGTCGGCTGGCGACCCCCTGGGGAAGAGCCTTCTCTGTGGGGGCACCCGCCCTCTGGAATGAGCTACCCCCAGGGATACGACTAATCCCGGACCTCCGGACCTTCCGCCGGGCCCTGAAGACTTTTTTATTTCAGCAAGCCGGGCTGGGTTAAAATTTTTTAATTGGGGAATTTTATGGGTAAGGGGTTTTAAATTGGAGAAGCCAAAGATAATTTAATTTCGTTTTAATGTATTTTAATATTTGTATTGTGTGTTTTTAATTCTGGCTGTTCACCGCCCTGAGTCCTTCGGGAGAGGGGGCGGTATAAAAATTTAATAAATAAATAAATAAAATAAATTAATTAATGGATTCTTTCTAAGACTCTAAGTTGTTGACATCCAAGCTCAGAGGGTTTCAAATATTAGAAGGTCTGTTCACCATCAGCAGCGTTGACAGTAGGAGCCCGAAGCCTTCATAATGAAAGATCTCAGCCACTTTTCAACAACTGTTTGAACTAAGCTCTTCATCTTCCCCATGAAATGAAGAGATTATCTCATAACATGACAAGTTACTTTTTTTATACCGAGTTTACGGAACCTTAGATTAAAATCACTTTCCATGAGAGGGGCGGCCATATACGTAAATTTGATGAGTGAATAAAATAAACAAACAACTGGCAATTCAAGCTCTTGAACTGCAGAAAAAATATCCTTTTATTATTACTGTTGTTCCAAGAATTTAGAAACAGTTGGCTTGCTACCAAACTATATTCTAGGATGCTAATCCTATTCCAAACAAAATGTAGCAGTGAACAAAAGACTTTGGCATTTGCAGAAAAATCTAGATTGGATGAAAGTGGAATATTTGTAGTTTAGGGTTGAAATGAGGGCTCCTTGGTGCTCTCTGAGCTTGCTTGTTTTTGTGTAGACATTTCATTACTAAACTAAGTAACATCATTAGTGCTAGTAAGGGAGTAGGGCTTGCTCTCAGTTTATAAATAAACCCCAGGTCTTACTAGCACTGATGTTGGTACCTAGTTTAGGTCTGCAAGGAAACAACGAAGCTCAGAGACCATCAAGGAACCCCTCAATCTAGAACTTGGTTTATTTTGCAGCCTCTTGATACCAAGATGTGTGGCAAATATTTCTGGCCACAAGTCTAGCAGAATCTCAGTGTTGTGGCTCCGTTACCTGAGCCTGTGTCATCGGCAGGAGAGGACTCCGAGAGTGAAGGAGAGGAGTTGACAAGGCCTCCCTCTCTAGGACCCTCCTCTCTGGCAATGCCTTCGGTGTCTGCCGAAGGGCAAGAGATAGAGCCGGGGCCAAGCACGTCCACGCAGCCACAGGTGGACAGTGATGAGGGAAATGAGTCTTGGCTGGATCCTCGGCAGCGTCGCAGAGATAAGCGCGCGCAACAGAAGAAAAGGCGTGCCAGAGATTAAGCTGAGTCACTGGACCACACCCCACAGGGTATAAAAGGGGGTGAGGTGGCCATTCAGACTCTGTGACGGAGAAAACTAACTACTATCGAGTCACATTGCATCTTTGGAAACAACATTATCAGCCTTGGATTTATTTTACGAACTGGACAATTCTTGACTGTGTGTATTTTGGTTTATGAGTAAAGTTCTTGGCAAGCAGCTACTGGGTTGCTGCCAAATTTCTTATCAGAAGAATTGGTTGTCTGCCATTGAGGAAGGAAGGAAGGAGGATTATGAGTGAGTGAGGGTCTGAGAGAAATCCTGCCTTAGCACTAGGCCACCACAAGTGCCCCTGACACAAGTGACGTCGAGCTGGCCACGCCCACTATGGTCATGCCCCACCCCCCACCCCACCGAGGTCAAATACAACCCTGATGAAATCAAGTTTGACACCCCTGCCCTAAGCAATCCATAGGGACTAAGGCACTATCTGAGCCGTGGTGGCGAAGTGGTTAGAGTGCAGTACTGCAGGCTACTTCTGCTGATCACCGGCTGCCAGCAGTTTGGCAGATCGAATCTCACCAGGCTCAAGGTTGACTCAGCCTTCCGTCCTTCCGAGGTTGGTAAAATGAGGACCCAGATTGTTGGGGGGCAATATGCTGACTCTGTAAACTGCTTAGAGAGGGCTGTAAAAGCACTGTGAAGCGGTATGTAAGTCAAAGTGCTATTGCTATCTGTCCACCCTGATCCAGTCCAACAGCCTCCAGTACCAGAGAAACTTAGCTCACTGCCAAAACCTGAATGCACTCAAGATATCAATCCTCTCTCTCTCTCTCAATGTCTTGGCACCACAGAGAACCAGCTGCAAGGATGGCTCAGGAGCCCCAAACAGTTCTGGGACTTACCGTATTTTTCGGAGTATAAGACACACCTTTTTCCCTTCTAAAAGGGGGTGAAAATTTAGGTGCGTCTTATACACCGAATGTAGCCCTGCCCACCCACTGGCCCCCACCCTTTGGCCTCTGCCTCGTAGCAGTTATCTCCTTGCAAGCAAACAACAAGAAAAAACAACTCCTTTCAGCTTCAGCACATCCTAATTAGCACAAGTTGATTGGATCAGCCTCCCGACTCTCAGCTGATTTGCTCTCAGCTGTTTTGCGCAGGGCTCTGGTGCTTGCTGCAAAGAGGTAAATTGCTGGAGCAGATTTTTTTTTCCTTGTGCTAATCAAGCTATGCTGAAAATGAAAATGAAAGTAAAGCAGGCTGTTTGCTGCAAAGAGGCAGAGGCAGAGGCAGAGCGAGATTTCTTTTTCTTCTTTTCCTCACCAAAAAAAGGTAGGTGCGTCTTATACTCCGGTGCGTCTTATACTCCGAAAAATACGGTACCTGCCCATTTATGTTCCTCCCTCCCTCCGCATATGAATTTGAACAAACCTGAAACACGCTACATATGATGTACAGCGACTGATAACCCAGAGAACATAAAATTCACTAACTTCTGAACTCTGCTTTTGTCGTTCGGCTGCTTCTTCTACCGCCTGAGCAATCTTCTCGCGATCTTTGTTTCTCTCTGCTTGCCATAATTCTTTTTCTTGATCATGCAGCTTTTTCATGTTTTCCCTTTCAGCTGTTACTGCTGCTAGGATGGCAGCCTGCAGATCCTCTTTTTCCACCTGCAGCATCAAATAACGAGGGTCAGCGAGAATCTAAACGCAAACATTTCAGCAGTTCAGTATCCAAAATGTTGCCTCTAATGCAGTGGTGAAATCTGAACTGGTTTGCTACCAGTTTGCTGGTCGCGTATGCGCAGTGCGCACCAAAAGGAGGCTTGGGAAGGTAAGTAGAACAGCAGGGAGGATCAGCTGTGGCCCGCGATTTAGCTTCGCTAGAAAGGAGGAAATCCTGCTTTCTAGCAAAGGTAAACCCCGCGACACAGCTGATCATCAGAAATACCGGTTCGGAGGAACCAGTAGGTTTTTCTCACTACCGGTTTGCCCAAACCGGAGTGAACTGGTAGCATTTTACTCTTGCTCTAATCCCTAAAATGTCAACCGTTATTTTGCAGGAAAAGGCCCTCAAGTTCATTTAAATTCATTCTGAAGACTGGGTTAATTTTGGAAACTGAAAACAACTGTTCTCGATAACATTAGATTTCCAGTTTCCATCTTTCTTTAAAACACTTTTTCAGAAGTTCTCTGAACACGGTCTTTATACTGAAATATTTCTGCTGTAAAAACCAATTGGACAAATTATGAACATCAGCCAAAGATTAGTTCCACTTACTAGACTATAAAAACTATATTCTCTATTCATACAGTATGATAGTCTTTTCTTTCTAGCCTCAGAATAACAGGGCAGGAACAGGAAATATTATTTTCAGCACGGCTACTGGGCATTATGTGGTAAGGCCAAGTGAGAAGACGGGGACTGTTTTTCCTCATCTCGTGTCCTCACCTACATAAAAGGAGAAAGGATGGCAAGGGCAGACAGGAGGAGTGGCTGGGAGTTACACCAGGATTGGAAACTAAAATTTAACAACAGTGGCACAAGATAATAATAAATATAGTAATAAATATATATAATAATATATTATTATATTAATTATAATATAAAACAATTAATATATTTAATGTAATATAATAAATATAATATAATATAATATAATATAAATTATATATATTTATATATATATATATATATTTATATAAATAAATTTATATATATATTTAGTTATAAATTTTTACACACACACACACACACACACACACCACACACACACACACACACATATATATATATATATATATATATATATTATATATATATATATATATATATATATATAATTTATATTTTGCTGATAAAGAAATAAAGGGAGACTACTATAGATCTATTTCAAGCTTTTTAGCTTTCATCAGCTAGCCATACCCTTACTTGGATTCGAATTTGGACGAATTCAAATGCCTAACATGCAGGAAGCCCAAGTTCGAATCCAAGTAAGGGTATGGCTAGCTGATGAAAGCTAAAAAAGCTTGAAAGCTAAAAAGCTTGAAATAGATCTATGCCATCCCTCTGCTAAATTCCTAATTCCCACAGCACTGTCTTATGTCTAAGGATATTTATTCATGTAGCAGGGCTGTGTATTGCTATTATTCTTTTTATACTTCCTATTACCTTCTCATATTGGTAATCTTATGATTATATCACTTTATTGTTTGTACCTTATGATTTATTATTGATCACTTTGTTGTATGTATGTGCACTGAGAGCTTATATATGTCCAATTGCGCTTGGCCAATAAGGAACTCTTCTCTTCTTCTCTTCTCTTCTCTTCTCTTCTCTTCTCTTCTCTTCTCTTCTCTTCTCTTCTCTTCTCTTCTCTTCTCTTCTCTTCTCTTCTCTTCTCCTCTCCTCTCCTCTCCTCTCCCCTCCCCTCCCCTCCCCTCCCCTCCCCTCTTTAGCCTAGTCTAGTCTAGTCTAGTCTAATTTTATATTCTATTCTCAGCCTGAATTGATTGTTCAAAATACCTTATTCTCAAAATATCCACTATGTAAAGCTTTCCAGAGTGGGGCCCCACCATCTAAAGTACTCAGTGCTTATTAGAATGACTGAAGGGAAACAGAAGAAGTTTTTCTCTTGCTTCTAGGACTTCTGTTTTTGTTCTAATATGGTTTGATAAGATAACAGGTATCAAGAAGAACAAAAACCCAGCAGAACAGTAACTCCCCCTCCCTCATTAAGAACTCCAGATTCCAGATATTTAGAACTGAATAACAGAGTTGGAAGGGACCTTCGAGGTCTTCTAGTCCAACCCCCTGCTTAGGCAGGAAACCCTACATCACTTCAGACAAATGGTTATTCAATCTCTTCTTGAAAACTTCCAGTGTTGGAGCATTTACAACTTCTGGAGGCATGTTGTTCCACTGATTAATTGTTCTAACTGTCGGGAAATTTCTCCTTAGTTCTAGGTTGCTTCTCTCCTTGATGAGTTTCCACCCTTTGCTTCTTGTCCTGCCCTCAGGTGCTTTGGAGAACAGTTTGACTCCCTCTTCTTTGTGGCCGCCCCTGTGATATTGGAACACTGCTATCGTGTCACCCCTTTTACTTTTACATTTACTTGCTGCAGTCCCAACTTCTCCTCCTCTCCTTGAAGTCAAAAGCAACAACATCAAAGGGAGCTTCAAAAGGTCCCCCAGGAACAATGTTTGCATACTAAGATACCTTTGCAGCTGTTGCCAAAGCCTCCTTATTACGTTCCCTTTCGTTCTCCATGCATTTTTCCAACATTTCCTGGAAACAAAGCACAGTAGAAAGCATTACAAGCCTATAAAAATACCTTCCAAAGCTTGGCTGTCCACAGAAGCCAGAGGCTTTGTCAGAATGATGAAAAGAGGCCTTGTAACATCACGTGACACAACAACACAACCACAAAAGAGGCCGAGCTGGTGGTGTTGTGACACCCGTTTCGTCATTCGTCCATCCCCTCGTTTCTCTCTCGCAAATAATTCATCTTCCAAAGAATTTAGTTCGCTTTAAGTTTTTCTTTCTAGAACATCTAAGCCTTCTTAAGACGACACGCCATTCCTTCCAGATTATGCTATCTGGAAAGACCACAGCTGGCCAACCAGCTGCCGGAACAGAATTTGGAGTCGGCATCTATGATGCTCAAATCTGAAGTCAGCTGAAGTGAGAGAGAGAGAGATCATGGAAACCCATTTGTAGTTTAGTGATGAATCAGAGTAGGAAAATGAAGTTTGTTCCCCTTCTCTTGACAAGCCAGACCTAGAAAATGTCCCTCTAGAAAATATTCTGGATTCTATTTCAGAATTTTACATGGATGAATAATACGCCCAGCTGTTCTGCCACAGAGTATTATTTACAGGTCCAGAAGAAGTGAGGAGAAACCACAATAGATATGTGTTGCTGTAATGTTTATTAACTTTTTACCCCAATTCTATATTTATGAGGTATGTTTGGGAGGCCCTTTGCCCTAAAAGGCAGCCTAAAAGTAATTAATATCAATTAAAGATGATTTAAGTAAATTATGATTGACAAGGTGAGATTATCCTGCAGGGATGGATATGCGAACTCTGGTCTTAAAAAAGAAAACCAAAATGAAGGGAAAAAGGGAATGAAATATAAAGGTGCAAAAACTTCTTAATGGTGGAAATAAATTGCACCATATTAGCTGTTGCAACTGCATCCTAACAGCTACAGATCTATTTCTTCTCATAGATCGGGGTCGGGAATTATGGCCTGTGGACTTCGACTCCCAGAATCCCTAAGCTCAGGAAGCTCAGGAATTCTGGGAGTTGAAGTCCACAGGTCATAAAAGGGCCACAGTTCCCTACCTCTGTCTTAGATAAACCCAATCTAAGGAAATCTACTTTTGTCCTTGAACCCTCTTCCCGTCTCAAGGCCTTCTGCTTAGATGTTGCATCCTTCTGAAAGAAAATAGGGTTTAACCTCTGAAAGATTCTTCTTGGTTGTCAATGACATCCCCTTTTTTTTAAATGGTGCAAGAGCTGCAGCCCTTAGAAAGGAACAAGTACCTTGTATTCCTGTGATTGTTGCCACAAGGAGTCTTTGGTTTTTTCTTCTAAGATTTTCCGCTCTTCTTCCAACATATCAAGCAGCCTTTGATGCTAAAGGAAGGAAGGAAAATGAAGGGGAAGGGAGAGGGAAAAGAGAAGGGAAGATGAGGGAAGATGTGAGAAGGAAGGGAAGGGGAAAAGAAAAAAAGAAAAGAGGAAAGAAAAAAGAGAGGGAAGGGAAGGGGAGAAGAAAGGAAAATAAAATAAAAGGAGGAAGGGAAGAAGAGAAGAAAGGAAAAGAATAAAAGGGAGAAGGGAAGGGGAGAAGAAAGGAAAATAAAATAAAAGGGGGAAGGGAAAATAAAATAAAAGGGGAAGGGAAGGGAAAATAAAATAAAAGGAAGAAGGGAAGGGGAAAAGAAAAGAGAAGAATAAAAGGGGGAAAGAAAATAAAAGCAGGAAGGGAAGGGAGAAGAAATGAAAAGAAAAGGGGGGAAGGGAAAATAAAATAAAAGGGGAAGGGAAGGGAAAATAATATAAAAGGAGGAAGGAAACGGAAAGGGAAGGGAGGGGAGGGGAAGGGAAGGGGAGAAGAAAGGAAAATAAAAGGGGAAAGGGAAGGGAAATAAAAGGAGGAAGGAAAGGGCAGGGAAGGGAAGAGATATTACATTTATATAAAAGGCAGAGAACAAATAAAACCAACCCTTGTGATCTTCAAAGTTTATAACTGGTTTTATTCATGATATCCACTGGGATGGCGGTGGGGGAAGTGACAATAGCACGTCATGTCATGGTATCATCAGGCAGACGACAACAGGAAGTGCTTCAAGTCATTGTGGCTTCATCTGAGAGGTCTTTGTGTATTGACTGGGTGGGCGTGGCCAACTTTTTTTTTTTTAACTTTTCAAAGCATCAGGAACTGCCGATCAGGAACTCAGCTGGGATCATCAGAGACTTTTCAAAGCATTTTTTTAACCACCTCTTCGGCCAAGAGGTTGCAGAAAAAAATGCTTTGAAAAGCCTCTGATGATCCCAGCTGAGCTGCGCGATCATCGGAGGCTTTTTTTTTTACTTTTAAAAGCATTTTTTCACCAGAAGAGGTTGTAGAAAAAATGCTTTTACATTTTTTTTTAAAAAAAAGCTTCTGATGATCGTACGGCTCAGCTGGGCATGGTGGGGGGGGAGGGATTTTTGCTATTGGTTCTCCGAACCACCCGCCACCATCGCTACCGGATCAAGTGATCTGGTCCGAACCAGGAGCATTTCACCCCTGGCCCCACCCCCATCTATTCTCTGCCTCCCAAGTCCCAGCTGATCAGGAGGAAATGGGGATTTTGTAGTAACCTTCCCCTGGATTGGGGAGGGAATGGAGATTTTATAGTATCCTTCCCCTGGAGTGGGGTGGGAATGGAGATTTTACAGTATCCTTCCCCTGGAGTGGGGAGGAAATGGGGATTTTGCAGTAACCTTCCCCTGGAGTGGGGTGGGAATGGAGATTTTACAGTATCCTTCCCCTGCCACGCCCACCAAGCCATGCCATGCCCACCAAACCACACCCACAGAACTGGTAGTAAAAAAATTTGAAACCCACCACTGGTACAGGTAAATAAAAACAAGGACAAACTAAACTAAACAATGGTTAAATTAGGTGGAGGAATAAGGAAACAAATGAGAAGATATAAATTGTGGAAAGGAAACTAGGTACCTGGTTACTAGGTTAAATGTAAATAAAGTATTTAGACTAAGAATATATATATATATATATATATATATATATATATATATATATGAATAATATACTAGAAATATTGTATAAAAGATAAAGGTAAGAAAGAGAAAATGTATAAATATGGACTACTGATGCGAAGATGTTGAAAAGAAGATGTAAATATCTGTTTTTGTTTGTTTACTTTTTAAAAACTGTTTAATAAAAATTATAAAAACAAAACAAAACAAGGTCAAATAGGCTGAAAAACAGATTCTATTCCAGGGCAATAACCATAACCAATACGGTAAGTACAATATCGGATTTTCAATTTCAATTATATAGAATGTAAAGGATGTACGTTTGTGTTTTTATTTTTATAGTTATAATGTACACTGAAGACGGCATTTAATTTTGTTGTACCATGTGCAATGACAATAAAGTGTTTGACTTTCTTATTTCATCAAGCTGGCCTGACCTAAGTCTTTTCCCCTTTTTAAATGGAAATTTTAAATTTGGTTTTAAATTATTGGGGTTTTAAATTTGTTCGGCCAAATTATTTAATTCGTTTTAGTTTATTTTAAATTTTGTATCTGTATGTTTTATTCTATGGCTGTTCACCGCCCTGAGTCCTTCGGGAGTACTCTCCCCTCTCTGGAAGAGTTTTATAGCTCTTGCTGCCTTAAGAAAGTTCAAAACATTCATAAAGATCCATCTTATCCTGGGCGCCTTTTTTTAAAAAAAACTATTACCATCTAACAGATGTACAGGTCAGAGGTGGGTTTCAGCAGGTTCTGACCAGTTCTGGAGAACCGGTAGCGGAAATTTCGAGTAGTTCGGAGACCGGTAGTAAAAAATTCTGACTGGCTCCACCCAGGGGTGAAATGTAAAATGTTGTTACTACCGGTTCTGTGGGCATGGCTTAGTGGGGGGGGGGGTAATGTGACTGGGTGGGCGTGGCCAACTTTTTAAAAAAAAAAACTTTTCAAAGCATCAGGAACTGCCCATCAGGAACTCAGCTGGTATCGTCAGAGACTTTTCAAAGCATTTTTTTACACCACCTCTTCGCCAAGAGGTTGCAGAAAAAAAATGCTTTGAAAAGCCTCTGATGATCCCAGCTGAGCTGCGCGATCATCGGAGGCTTTTTTTTTTACTTTTAAAAGCATTTTTTCATCGGAAGAGGTTGTAGAAAAAATGCTTTTAATTTTTTTTTTTAAAAAAAAAGCCTCTGATGATCGTACGGCTCAGCTGGGCATGGTGGGGGGGGAGGGATTTTTGCCACCGGTTCTCCGAACCACCCGCCGCCATCGCTACTGGATCGGGCGATCCGGTCCGAACCAGGAGCATTTCACCCCTGGCCCCACCCCCATCTATTCTCTGCCTCCCAAGTCCCAGCTGATCAGGAGGAAATGAGGATTTTGCAGTAACCTTCCCCTGGAGTGGAGTGGAAATGGAGATTTTACGGTATCCTTCCCCCTGCCACGCCCACCAAGCCATGCCATGCCATGCCATGCCACGCCCACCAAACCACACCCACAGAACTGGTAGTAAAAAAAATTGAAACCCACCACTGGTACAGGTCAATAAAAACAAGGACAAACTAAACTAAACAATGGTTAAATTAGGTGGAGGAATAAGGAAACAAATGGGAAGATATAAATTGTGGAAAGGAAACTAGATACCTGTTTATGTTAAATGTAAATAAAGTATTTAGACTAAGAGAATATATATATATATATATATTATATATATATATATATATATATATATATATATATATATGATATACTAGAAATATATGTATAAAAGATAAAGGTAAGAAAGAGAAAATGTATAAATATGGATTACTGATGCGAAGATGTTGAAAAGAAGATGTAAATATCTGTTTTTGTTTGTTTGCTTTTTAAAAAACTGTTTAATAAAAATTATAAAAACAAAACAAAACAAGGACAAATAGGCTGAAAAACAGCTTCTATCCCAGGGCAATAACCATATTGAATTCTACGGTATAGTACAATATCGGTTTTCAATTTCAATTATATAGAATGTAAAGCATGTACGTTTGTGTTTTTATTTTTATAGTTATAATGTACACTGAAGACGGCATTTAATTTTGTTGTACCATGTGCAATGACAATAAAGTCTTTGACTTTCTTATTTCATCAAGCTGCCTGACCTAAGTCTTTTCCCCTTTTTAAATGGAAATTTTAAATTTGGTTTTAAATTATTGGGGTTTTAAATTTGTTCGGCCAAATTATTTAATTCGTTTTAGTTTATTTTAAATTTTGTATCTGTATGTTTTATTCTATGGCTGTTCACCGCCCTGAGTCCTTCGGGAGTAGGGCGGTATACAAATTCAATAAAATAAAGATAAATAAATAAAATAAAAAAGTAAACTATAAACAATAGCCAAAGCCCAGGTTGATCAGACCTCTCCTGGTGTATTTTTGGACACAGAGAGGAGAGGAGATAACCTTTATTGTCATTTTTTTTTTTATTGTGAGCAACAGTAAAAAAACAGCCCTCAATGCATATGAAAACTCTTACAGTTATGCTGGAAAATGCAACAGGTCCTAGCTCAAGAAGGAAGAAAATTAAGATGAAACAACGTTTGCCTATGGGAAAGAAAAAAATAAAGTTTTTTTTTTAAAAAAAAAATACTGCAAAAAAACCCCCAAAACAAAAGTTCAGACGCAGGTTACCTTTTTCCTGCTAGCTGTTTCGAGCAACTGCTCCAGATGAAAATGTTTGATGTAGAGTCTAAGATAAATACAGTCCCTGTGGTTTTCCTTGATTCTTGTTTAAAAAAGAAAAGAAAAGAAAAGAAAAAATCTATTTCCTGGAATGTGAGTCAAAGAAAATAATGTAAATAGATTGAATCATGTTCATAAGCAGGTACATTTTTTTCAAAATGAAGTCTGCGTTTCAGGAATCATCACCATGCAACTCAAGAGACCCTGTTGTGAAGTCACACTGTTACCGAGAAATATCACACACACACACCCCAAATCATTTGAACAGGTTACTCAAATCTAATCCATCAACTTCTACAATCTATGTTTACAAGCAGTAAGTTCCAAATAAACAGCAGAAATGAAAAGAAGGGGGGGGGACACATGATAGCAGTATTCCAGTATTTGAGAGGCTGCCACAAAGAAGAGGGGAGTCAATTTATTTTTCAACGCACCAGAAGGCAAGACAAGAAACAATGGATGGAAACTAAAAAAGCCAACACAGTTCTGGGCTGCATAAACCGAGGAATAGAATCAAGATGACGTGAAGTGTTAATAGCACTTTATAATGCCTTGGTAAGGCCACACTTGGAATAGTGCATCCAGTTTTGGTCGCCACGATGTAAGAAAGATGTGGAGACTCTAGAAAGAATGCAGAGAAGAGCAACAAAGAT